TGACGGTGGGGACGGTGGCCTGGGCTGCAGCTACCATCTTCCCACCGGGCTGCCAGGCCAAAAGAAAAAGCCGTGAGAAGGGGACAAACACGCAGCATCTCTCTGATGCCCACGTGCAGTAGGCTTCACGATATCTTAGGAGGGCCAAGCACAGTATGAAAGCTGTAACGCCTGTGCCGGAGCCAGCGCAGGAGGCTCCAGGCAGTGCGGGTACCTGCAGGAAGTTCTGGCTGGCAGCAATGAGAGCCAGCTGGGTGCTGGGGCTGTCCAGCTGGGAACGGCTTCCTCGCATGCCCTGCACTAGCATTGGGATCTGCTCTGCCACCACCTGCCAGAGAGGAGGGTCACTGGAGAGGCTCAGCTGGGAGGAGACTGCGCTCCCCATGGATCTAATCTGGGACCAGTGACCGGAAGACTGGCTCCCAGGGGAGCTGCACGAGGACCCCAAGGTCTGCCTGCCCACTGAGGCCGAGCACAGAGCCTTGGCACAGCTGATGGGAGAAGGGACAGGTGGTGCAGGAGATGTCAGGATCAGGCCCAGGCCCTTACCTTGCAGCTCTGTACCAGCTGCTGCTGTGCGGCGGGGTTCTTGTTGGAGGAGGCAGTGTGCTGCGCAGCGGCAATGGTCTGGGTGGCAGAGGCGGGGGCTTGCTTGGCTACGTGCTGGCAGGGGGAGGCATGGGTTAGCACTGGCAGTGTGGCAGCCTACCCCAGAGCCTCCCTGCCATGCACCGGGGCCCAGCTCCCCCTAAGCTGCTTCTCCTGTGCCTCCACTTGTGACAACAGAGCATACCCAGCACCCTTGATGCCCAGCATCCCAAAGCAACACGGTGCACACAAGGGAAGGGAAGGGAGCAGTGGGGAGGTTTCTGCAGGATGCAGCATGGACACTGTACATGAAAAGGACTTTATCCCTCCAGAAAGCTCAGAGACACAGGGGCTCCCAGCCAGGTCTCATTTGCTGACCATGTCTGCTCGCCCTCCACAGCCCCTTGCCCAGCATCTCACCTCCAGCTTGTGCACAAGCTTCTTCTTGATGGCGTTCTGGGCTGCAGTGTTGGTTGCCATGCGGAGCCCCTCCGCTGCCTCGTGCAGCCGCTGCTGCTGCTCCTCGCTGTCCAGGTGGGCTGCGGCTCCCTGGAGAAAGCAGGAAACCCATCACACCTTGCAGGGGCTACTGGGTCCCTTGTCTTCCTGACAGCAGCAGCTGTGCTCCAACCCGATGCCGGGGAACACCCCCAAGGCAGCCCGGCTACTTACAGTGCTGGGGATATGACCGAAGCCTCTCCCAGAGAGCTCAGCAGCAGGAGAGCTAACAGCTCCCCTGCTACCACCTGCAGCTTCAGGAGGAGCCCTACTCCATTACACAGGTTGTTGGCTCAGTGCAGGACCTTACTCTGGGAACTGCTCCCCGACCCAGAGGCTGCTCATCCCCTCCGCAGTACCGAGCCAATGGCGTCGGACGGGGGCCAGAGCCAGCACCCATCCTCCTGCACACCATGAACCTTCGCAGCCTCCACCATCTTGGCGGTGGCATCAGCCAGGATCTTGGCCGCACTCAGCAGCTTGTGTGAGTTCTCCAGGTCCATTTCTCCCTCCGCATCAGCTTTGATGGCGTTGACAAGGTCAGAGGTGGCCTGGGCCAGAATATAAGCCTGACGCACAATTTCCCCTGGGAAAGAAAGGAAGGGTGGCCCATTAGCAAGTCCCACGGGCTCCCTGATACCTCCCCACCCACTGTGCTCTACCCCAGGTACCATCAGCCGCTCTTACCCGCGTCACCCATGGAGCTGAATATGTTCTTGGTGACGCTGAGGATGGTGTCGGTGGCCTGGTCATAGCGCCCGATGGGCTGCCCACCCGTGGCGTGCTGCTTGATATGCTGCAGCAGGTTGTTCAGGGCCTGGGTGACGGCTGTGGCTGCCACCCCCACCTGCTTCAGGAGCTGGTCATCGCTGGTGGCCGCCTTGGAGGCCTCCATGCAGCCCTCTGCCAACTTGGCCACCAACTTGCCAGCCTCGATCAGCTGCTCCCGGCA